TGGGTGTTTATTTTTTTTTTTTTTTTTTTTTTGGCGTGGGGGGGGAGGATTCTTCCTCGGGTGAAACTTTTATTTTGGAATTAGTCCAAAATAATTTTGGGTTTGATGTGTGAAAATCTGAACCTAATTTTTTCAGAGTTTTTGTTATTGAAGGATGAAAAAAGGTACATTTTAAAATGTACTCCACCTTTTTAAAACGGACTGTGGTCATTATGGTGTTCACATAACTCTGAAACAGCTCAAGCTATAAAATTAGGACTTGGCAGAATGGGAGTTCCTAGGGAGAAGGTTAAATCGAGGTAAATTGAAGGGAGAGTTGGACAGTTGGCGCGATTGTGGTGTTAGGAAGCTTACCAGGTCCCCGCGTGTGGCAACCCCTCTACCCTGAGAGTATTGGAACTCAGATGCATAGAGCCAGCCGCGGTGGTGAGCGGAGACTTCGCGTCGCCTGTAGTCTTTCTCCGAGAAACAATTTCAATGAAAGGGCTGGCGCGCTCTGCGTGCACATGTGCATGTATCTGCGAATGTGCATGCATATCTGCGTGCGTGTGTGCATGTAAGTGCGCGCATGTTTGTTTACATGAGTTTATGCATGCATGTGCCTGTGCAAGTGTGCACGTGTATCTGCGTGCATGTCTGTGTCTGTGTGGGTGCGCGCGCCAGGTCGTGCGATCTGTGATGAGGACATTCCGAAGCAGAGCAGGGCTGCCGGGGACGCCGCTCATACTCTTCAGCTCGTTCCCACTCACAGGGACCTAGAACTCCGCCGTGCGTGGCTGTAGACGCTTCCCGCGGAGTGTTGGCTCCGCATGGTGGAGGTGCAGGTAAAGGCCAAGCCCCTAAACCTGTCTCTTCCCGCGCCTTCCTAGGACAACCGCCCAGGGGCGACCTCGGGCGGCGGGCGGGGCGAGGCCGGCGGTGAGAAAAAGCCTGTCCCTTTAACCCCGCCGCCGGGCGGGAGCACGTGAGCGGGGCTCCGGGTGGCACCCGGGCGCCGCCGCCGCCGAGGCAGTTGTATTTCGAACGCTGCCTCTGGCCCACGGCCAGGCGCCTTGGCTCGACGGTCCGCCTGGCCTCCCTCCTCCTCATACTTTTCCTTCTGCGCAGCCCCCTCCCCTTTATCCGCCCACGATTAGAGGTGGGCACTCCCCCCACCCCTCCGCCGCCCCCTCCTCAAGCGCACACACACTCATCCCACTTGAATCCAGGGGCAGGAACTCAGAAAACTTCCAGCCCGGGCGGCGCACACTTGGTGCAGGAGGCAAGAGAGAGCAGCCCGTCCCCCTCGGTCTTTCCCGTGCCGCTGCCGCCTGCTCCCGCCACCCGAGGAGGCGCGGTGCCACCCACTGCTCTTCCCTTGCCTGCGCTCAGTGCCCGACCCGGTCCCGGCAGACTCCTCATCCTCCCTTGGCTTTTCGACTGCCCAAGGCGCTATTTGTCTCTCTCTCTCTCATTCTCTCCCTCTCTCTCTCTCTCCCTTACTACCCTTTCTTATTCCCTCCTTCCCTCGTCTCTCTCTCTCTCTTTCTTGCTCTGAGAGCGCGGAGCGGGGGGGAAGAGGAGGAGGAATTCTTTCCCCGCCTAACATTTCAAGGGACACAATTCACTCCAAGTCTCTTCCCTTTCCAAGCCGTTTCCGAAGTGCTCCCGGTGACCGCAACTCCTGATCTCAAACCGAGAGGGAAGCCTCCCAACTTCAAATCCTCTTTTCCTTCTCCTTTGCTTTCCTCCTCCTCTCGCTACCTCCACCGCCACCTTCACCTCCGGCACCCACCCACCGCTGCCGCCACCACCAGCAGCGCCTCCTTCTCTCCTCCTCCTCCCCTCTTCTCTCTTTTTGGCAGCCTCTGGACGTCCGGTGTTGATGGTGGCAGCGGCGGCAGCATAAGCAGCAGCAGCCCTCGCAGCACTTCAGCTCTTGCTCCCCCTGCCTCATTCTCCAGCCCTATCACCCACTCTCCCGAAAGGTGCTGGGCCGATTGGGGGCGGCGGAGGCGAAGCGGCTGCAGCGGCGGTAGCGGCGGCGGGAGGCAGGATGAGCGCACGCGGTGAAGGCGCCGGGCAGCCGTCCACTTCAGCCCAGGGACAACCTGCCGCCCCGGCGCCTCAGAAGAGAGGACGCGGCCGACCCAGGAAGCAGCAGCAAGTCAGTATGCGGGCGAGGTGGGGGCACCAGCCCACCTCCGCTCCCTTTGCAAGGCCCCTGCGACGCGCAGCCACCCGAGCGCGGGAGTCCAGTCGCCGCGGCCGCCGCACGCTTCCCGCCGGCCGGGGAGTGGGCTGCGGAGTCTCTGTCGCCAGCGCGCGGATGAGCTTCCCGGCGCCCGCGTCCCTCCAGGCAGGGAGGTGGGGAGCCGCGGCGGGCGGCGGGGTGGAGGCGGGAGGTGGGATCCCGCGAAGCGCGTCCTCGGACTTTCGCTATTGTGCACCGCCCTCAGTGGCGCGGTGGCTCCTGGTGACTGGAAGCGGACGGGTTCCAACAATCCAGGGATCACCAGGCGCTTTCCGAGCCACTTTACAATTGCCTCAGGGGAAGGAAGTGCTTGGGGCAGGGGAGTTCTGTGAGGCAGAGTTGGAGGAGCTGAAGTCCTGGGGGCCGTTGGCTTTTTCTCCCGCCAACTAGGGCTGCTCGTGGGCCCGAGTCTGGCACTCTGCAGCCGCCCCTTTGGCGCCCTCCCCAAGTTCTCGGTGGCCCAAGACTCGCGCCCTCCCGACAAAGAACTCGTGGGCCCGCGGGGTCCTCTTAGGGCTCTTTAAATGCTGCGCGGCGGCCGATCTGCCGGCCGCAGCAGCCGAGGTGTCCCGGAGCAGGGGCTGCGGGAGAGCCTGGGTCCGCATGGGACAGGTTTAGCTCGTTTGGCCAAGGGCGCGTTGGAAAGTAGTGTCCGAAAGGGTGCACCGTAGTTAGAGTCACTTCCTTGCCAGGCACCCAGTCCCCCTTTTGCCCCTTGATGCCGCGCCTCGGAGCTGCACACATTAAATGTGCTACATTTAGGCACATGCATGCATAAACTCCAGGGCCATTGGCTGGGGGTTGGGGGGAGACGATCGAGGGGCGCCCGGGACCCCGCGGAGTGGAGGGTTTTGTCTGCGGATGCAACCAATTAAGCGTGCAGCCGGCGCTTGCAGAGCTGCGCGCAGCGCGCAGGGCGGGGGGTTTTGTTCGCTGCAATTTCCAAGCCTTGGCGGGCAGGGCTGGAGCGGGACATGTCTACTGAGAGCATTTAAACTCCGCTTCCGCGGACTTTAAAACTTTTTCTCCGTTCTGTATGTAGCCTTAAAGCTCTTCCTTCATGGCAAATAGGCCTATTAGAAAATTATCCTAGAGTTCCAAAGCTGCCCGAGAGCAAGGTGGGGAAATCGAACAATGTTTGCTTGCCAGCGAGTTTTTGAGAAACGGAGAGGGTTGTACCTTTTTGAAATCATCAAAGGAAATAAGCCCATCTAGAGGCCCCTGAGTTTTCCCGCTCTGGCCAACGACACTTAATACCGCGTTAGGATCCTGTTTTACACCTCCCAGGAGGTCTCTGCCCTTCCCCCCCGCCTTGTTTCCCACCCGCCACCCAGCTCTCTCTTGCTCTTCTAATTGCCTCCCACCTCCAAAATAGAATCCAAAAGAAATTGCAGTGGGGTCTGGAGGTGACTGGAGATTTTTTACCTTTGAGTTAAGGCAGAGTTCACAAAGAAAGGAAAATGTGTCTCCGATGTGTTTGCTCCGGATGTGCCCACTGGTCCCACAGAAACTTTCAGATTCTCTAACTAGGATGAGAATTTGTATTGAAGACGTTCATGAGTTTTAAGTTAATTAGTCTCATTTAATCACCGAATCTGAATGAAATGTAAATTTATGATTCACAGGATAAATATTTGGGAACTGGAATATTAATCATTGCATTCTCTTAACCACTTGAGTATTTACTACTTGGCATAGAAGCCATTTAAAGTTTTGCTAAACCTATTGATAGTTTCAATTTCTCCTTTCCAGATATTTCCATTCCTTCTCACTTTTTCCCCCTTTTAGATGTCACCAGTTCACCCCCATGAGTTTTCTCAAAAGAAAGTTTTGGAGAAATTGTTCATTTTTATCAAAAGATATTTAAATTTGGACTAGAGACCATGCCTACATCTCCAAAAGGAAGTGGAGAATTGAAGCAATTATCTAGATAATTCAAGTAAAACCTCCCACAACAGATTTACCATAATTATTTGGAAATTTTAAAGGGAATGGAGTTATTTCGAGTTGAAGAACTTGGATAATTGCTCCAGTATTTCACTCAATGTGTTGATTGAGTCATAATTGACCTACAATACAGATATGTAGAGATGATTAAAAACCATCTTTTCAATAAGGAAGATGGTTGAAATATTTATATTAGCTTTATATTTCTGTTGTTTGAAATGCTAGTAGTATTTGTATAAAATGCTTATTATTTCTGAGTTGCCAAATGCATAACCATGCAACTTTTTCACCTTAAAAATGTATGACTTTTTTTCTAGAACATGCCACCTTGTCGCCCTTTGTTACTGTTGTAGGGTTGAAATAGAATCTACTTTTCATATGTAAAATACAATTTCCTCTTTGAACCCTTGAATTAAAAGTACAGTTATTTCCCCTAACTGCAAACGCTGTACCATCATCACTATTTATGCTTGAATTGAATGTGTTCCAACAGTTCGGTGGAGCAGCACATGCAGAAAATATAACTATAGTGTCAGGGTCAATTTCTTACAGACATTCTTGCCACAACAGCATTTTTTTCCCCCCACAATTAGGAGCCAACCGGTGAGCCCTCTCCTAAGAGACCCAGGGGAAGACCCAAAGGCAGCAAAAACAAGAGTCCTTCCAAAGCAGCTCAAAAGGTGAGATTTCTCAAGTCAAATCCTCTCAGCTTTCTCAAGGACATCAGGAACCTCTCTGTAACTTTCCCATTCTAGATCTGCATCTAAGAATTTGTTCCAACTGGGTAACCCAAGACTCATTTCCTACCTACCTTTAATATTAGTAAGATTTCTAAGCAGAGGCTTAGCATAAAAAGTCCACGAAGATGCTGAGGTGTTGTTTTAAACAAACAATGACCAAATAATATGAAACTTAAAACGGGGGTGCTGGGGTGAGAAGGGGAAGTGGAGAATGACATCATTAAGTTTTGGGCCAGTTGTGAAATAGTTAAATACAAATCAAAACCGTAGATTTTGCAGTTTACTTCAAAAATAATAAAGATTAATTTACTTTGTGTTTATTTACAAGACTACTGCAAAACCAAATCCCCCTGTTAAAATTAAGTATTTTGCCACATAGATAATAATTAGAAGTAAATCGATTATAGAATATTGGAAAAAGGTCATGAATTTTACAGCTTTGAATGTGATGATAAAGGATACTGCTTGGTTATAATAAGCATGTAATGTAATCTTTTATAATCTCTCAAAAAGCCTTTCTATCAGGTGATATAGAAATGCTCTAAGTGGGATAATGAGAAGTTTTTTTAAACAGATATCTGACTCATTGTATTTTGCGGGCCAGGCTAGAATCCAGTCAAGTATAAGTTCCAGTGTTTTTCTTTATAAATTTCGAATTGCAGTGTAAAATAACTTCGTGTTGGTTGTCTTTGAGCTAGCAAAGAGGAAATATCTCAGGGTCAATGCATGTATAGAGAAGTGAAGGTGACTGTAAAAGTTACATTTTTTAGCTTTATAAATAAATCTGAAAAAAATTTTTGTATTTCATCTGTAGGTTTGTCCAGTAGCTAAAAACAAACGTTCAAAATTCAGAAGTAAATTTGAGTATACCATGTACAGTATCTGTTTAAAAGGACCATATGCCCATCTTTTGGGGATTAATGTTTTATGTGGTTTTCTCTGTGATTATGGGCACTAACCATATTATATGTGATGGTTTTTAGTGTTGTAAACTGCCATAGCAACCAGTGACACATGTAAAGTTATTTAGGGTATAACTATGAGTTCTTTTCTGTTTTATTTTAACAGTCTTGAACAGAATTGAAGGAGCAGATTTCTAATATATTTAAATATAACTGTTTCTCAGAATGAAGATTTGTGACTGACATTTAATCAATAAACTTTAAAGTAGCTCTAAATTACCCTGTCATTTAAATGTGACAATATATAATCTTCTATTCCTGATATGAATACTTTCTCTTACATTTTACCTGATTTATTAAATTAACTGAAAAGAGCTAATTTAACAAAGAAGGTTTTTTTATGTTGCATAGTGTGGGATTCACCTAACAATTTTGCCCTAATGAGATGGCAGAGACTAACTTGGTAGGTAGCTACAAACATTTAAACTATGATGTAACTGCTCAGAAAAATGCATCATTATAACATCTCCCAAGAAGGATTTGTAAATCTCACCATAAATAAATTATTTAAAATTTAATACAAAAGAAGGAATTCTTTTTTCTATTTTTTTTGAATAAGTAAAGAGATGCTCCATTACCTTCTTTCATTTTGAACAGTTTATCACTGACTGACAAAATCCTTTTTGACAAGGAAAGGTGAGACTTGTGTCTAATTTACCACCTAAAGCAAAACAACAAAAAATTTGCTCTCTTCCCAAGTGAGGTTTGATTTATTTTTAGTTACTTTAGTGGTAGGCATTTACAATGACCCTGCTAGGCCACTCATCTCTGATAGTTCTGCATGTGTATGCATACATACTACAACTTCCAAAACAAAAGTAGATTTTCTTATTCCCAAAGAAATCCTTCCCTGAAATCTTTCATTCTTCCAGACAAAATTATTTTACACAATTCCGTTATAAAAATCCCCCTTCTGATCAAAGTGAATATATTTGCCCATACCATGACTGTTATATTTCTTTAGTTTTATAAATTATGCTTCATTTGGAGAAGATAATACTTTGCAAAACGACAAATGACATTGATGAATTGTTCATGGCATACGTAAACTTAATGTATTTTCATTTTCAAATCAGTATTTATTGAGTTTGCTACTACCCTATATAAATATGATTATCAAACATATATTTATTTATCAAAAACATGTATTGTATTCCAACAAAACATGTTTGTTAGGATTTTGAGAAGCAATCATTTTAAGAAAAAGTTATATTATTCATAACATGTAAGATAAACATACCTTGTTAGACCTACCAGAGTAGATACAAGAAGTCTTCTATGATTAATAAATTGGGTATTCTCCTGAAAACTGAGATTCATCAAAATGAAAAATATGTAACAAAAACTGGTAAGTATATAAGAGAATAGAACTCTAAAATTAGACGAGATGCAATGTACACTGGAATCCTGATGATGTTGTGTGTTTAAACTTTCTTGCTGCTTGGAGTTTCTTTCAAAGTTTATGTTTGGTCTCAGTAACTGGCCTTGGGGCATTTGAAAACATAACTGCTTGTTGGAAAATTAGCAATGTGAAACTTGACAATGCATGCAGAATGTTGCAAGACCAAGTGCTTGACTACTAAATTAGCAATCACTTTAATTTCAGGCCATATTCAATATAAAATTGATTTGTGTAATATATAGAGCAAACATTTATAAAAACAATTTGTTAATCTTAGAACTTTTGGAAAAGGTAATTATTCTTCAATCTGCTTATATTCCAGTATGACAAATTCCCATAGATGACCGTTATGTAGCAATTCTAGTCACGTCTAAGAACTCCAATCCAAGTGCTTAAAATTTGTTTCTGAACCAGTTTCATATTGTTATCTTAATAAAACCAGAAGTTAATGTTTACCTGAATAATTTATTCGTGTGTGTGTGTGTGTGTGTATGTGCGCACACGCGTGTCTTGACCTCTTTATTTATGTTTTAGTTTGAGATATACCTGCGACCCGTTGACTCTTAATTTCCTTTTTGTTTTGTTTTCCTCTCATGTTGGTGCTGGATGGAAATACTTTGTATTTTCACCATTTCCCACGTTTGGAGAGAAGAACGATATCATCTTCTTTATGTTTGGTTTAGGGTTTTGGTTGTGGCTTTTTAATCATGAGAGAATACTAGAGGGGTTGTCATTAGTCTCCCAGTGTTTAATTTAAGGTCATGAGTCAAATTCATCTGTGTGCCTCAAGCCAGTTCTCATTCAAGTACTTTTAGGAAAAGATTTTTTAGGTTGAATTAAATTTTCATAGAAGGAAATTGCATACAAAAAAAAAGATCTCATGTATGAGATAGTCCGACTTCATAATGTCATAGATTTGCTTGAACTTCCTTTTGACTTTAGGTATAATGACCAGACCTAGAGAGCAAAGTTCAGAATGAAAATATCTTCAAGGTAAAGGATATATAATTCAAATAATGTGTTCAGGTGAACAGTTAATTTACATCTTCCATTTGCTTGTACAGAGAAGGCCTGATATTAATTGAATACTATAAAGGCAGATTTGTGCTCCTAATCACAGTCCTAGAAATGTGGTTCATTTTTCATAAATGATTACTAATGCCAATCATAGGTATTTTAGGATGAGGGAATGTGGGTTTTACACATCATTGCAGATAAATGTCAGAGCATAGATGCTGAATGAGGACAGATTTTTTTTTTCCAGAATATAGAAGGCTCATTTGAAGAGAGTAACCAAAGGTATCATTATAGGTAAGTCAGGGAAAGATGGTATTGGAAGTTCTCATACGATTCTAACCCTGATTTTTATGTTGCTAATATGATTTAGTTTGATTCCTCTGTGTTTTAAAGGGCAAGTTATTTCCACTGGGATCCAAGGCCGTGTCTGAGTGTATAAATGAGTCCAGGCAGGTAGAATTAAGTAAAGCCCAGTTGTTGTCTCCACTATCTTGCTATTTTAGGCTGACTTACCTAAACAATTGACTCATTTTTTTCATTTCACATTGCCAGGGAGGACCAAGCCTTAATGCATCAGTAAATTCCAGAAATACCTTTGAGTCATAGATTATGATCCAAATATAGGAGATTCAAGTACATTTGAATTATTTTATCAAGTAACTTTATTTCAAGGGATCCATAGTTCTCATTCTCTAGAAGCTGTCCTTTTGTTCAACTTTTTCATCAAAAACTCCTCATTACTTTGACTGACCTGCTCCCATGGCTCATTTTTATCTGAAAGTCTCAACAGATCATTTTCTAAGGAGTTAGAATATACCAGATTGGTATTCTATTGTACTCACTTCTTTCTTGAGAATAGATGGATGCCGAAGAGCCTTTTGTGTCAGTTAAGTCATTCACATTTATCTTGCCTTATTAGTTTACTTTCTGCAGTTTCCAGAACACGCCTTGCTACCATACAGTTTGGCACAAGGATGGAACAATGAATTTCACCATTCTAGATTCCAAATATTTTAGTAATGAGTCTTTGTTCTGCCAACCAGGAGGAAAATGTGAATAAAGAACTTATTATATTTTAGGTTATTAGTTTATTTATTCTTTATTGCTTTAATACACTGAACAATTTTGAATGGCATCTTCTAATTGATTTAGTAAGAAATAGTGCAGTCACTCTTCTTTCTCCAGGATAATGTAAGGGTCAGTTTGCTCAGAAAGTAACCCATGTAAACTCTTGTATCATTGCTATTGATTTTTCTGATTACAAAAGGGATAGAAGGACAGTTTAAAGGAAGAGAATCTTAAACTTTGAAAATCACTTTTCTTGCCATTTTGGCCTTGGCTTTAATTTAGTGCTTGTATAGGTGAAGACGGGTGCATAAATAATGATGTGGGTGTTGACAATGAGGGCATCTTTGGGTAAAATGAGCACCAACTATGATGGGTGCTAGAATTTACTTACATTTCCCATTGCAAAATATAGTGATGGCACACTTGTAACATCTTTTTAGGACTATAAATGGCTGCACTTAAAATTTAGAAACCCATAGAACTGGATTATC